CAGCTGCAGATCTAAGTTTTTGTTTAAAATGTGCCAGATACGAAGCTCTAAAGACAATAGAGTATTTCAAATAAATAGGGAGTCAAGAATGAAATAAGAGCCTGAGAACAGAATTTTCCACTTAGTCTTCCAAAACGAAGCAGCAAAGCCTGCCCTGAAAGCCCAGGGAGGGCAGTCACATGATTTCTACTATGAGGGTATGGAATAGATTAACTAAGGGGTCTCAACAATCACTCATTAAGCAGTGCTCGCAATTCCTTAATAGCATGGTATCTCCTCCCTCCCTCCCAACTGACCCCAAAGATCTCCAAGGCTTTCTTGGGACCAGAGACACAGGAAGGAAGGAAACTCAGTTCCCAAATAAGAATGCCTTAAATGCTTATGCCATAACTCTGAAGTAGAATAAAGAACACCTCATCTCCTGCTTCATAGAAGCTGCTACATCAGGGCCCTCTGACAAGAACAGGGTGACAATTTGGGAACAAGCAGTCTGGTCATCAAAAGAAGGACTAATAATCTGGGAAAACAGAAGAGTGACCTGCACCAGCAGTTCTTTGGATAGATGTACCACCAACTTGCTGGAGATCCTGAGTTGCCCTACTGACTTTGATAGCTTTTTGCAGCACAGAGTCCTAGAGCTAAAGAATTTTGTTTAGTGTATAGATATAGAACAGACCTTGCATTCAAGACAAACTCTTGGAAGAGAGAGAACTATACCAAGCACAGCCTGGAAATACTGTATTTCTCTGAATTCAACCCACTTCCAGGTTGTCCTATAAGGAATGCAGGGGGAAAAATTGAGGCAGCTCTACAAATGTGATCCAGACCTTCCTGGCTTGCAAACAAACAATGTATAAAATTTGCTGGTGGTACTTAAGGTTGTCCTGTTTTAAATTGGTAGTCTGCAATCTGTCAGAATTGGGGAACCACTGCTATGGACCATTATGGGCACATCACCTTAATGCTCTGCTTTCTTCCCTGCTTTTGCATTGATTATCAGTCAAAGTCAAGGTTTGGCCTATCCTGAAAAAATGGCTTACTGTACACAAATGTAACGTTTCAAAACAGCTTTGTTGCACAAGAAGTGGAAGACTCAAGTGTATGACTATTGCACAGGAGACGGAGCTTTCTTGGCAACTCTGTTGTGCACCTGGAACTCATGTTTAGATAAAACATGCCTGACCACAAAACTCAGTACCTTTAGACTAGAATGCAACTGCTGCTTCAGCTTAAGCTTCCCACAATAATACCACATGCACAAAAATCTCAGTCCCTGATCACTGCAATGGAGAAGAAAAGATTTCTACATTCATATTGCTATTCATGTGTTCCCAAAATTGCAGAGTGAGGCATGTGATATAAGAACCATGATAAAGACACTGTCATTCTAAAAGCAGCTAAATAGGAGAGGCATGTGCATAAATTTACAATGACAGCCCCTTGTTACCAAGTGCTGGCCGTCAGACACTTAGATTACAAAAAATATTGATTAAAGGACAGCTGGAAACCATGGAGAAGTCACCAGCTCTCTGAAATGAAATAATTACATGCTGACTAGCATTTTGAAGGGAGCAATCATAAGAAGAATGTAAGATCAGGTATGTCTGAAATACACTGGAACAGATTTTGCTTCTCATTTACTCTTTTGAGAATTAGAAGCAACTTGAATGACATCAGTAGGCAACTCAGTCCATGCTGTCATTGAACAAGAAGATCTAGTACCGCAGCTATTTATATACTGTAAATATTGGACTTGATTCTCCACTGATATGCACTTCAGGTAGTCATTTAAACCAACACAATGTGGATGTTAAATGCCACCAGATGAGAATAGCACATTTTGCTGTATGTGATGCAAGGAAGTGGAGAATCGTGACAGATTTAGAGATGATCAAAGCAAGAGACCAATGATACGCATAAAGAACTGTTTAAGTTAGCAACCTACAGGTGCCAGGTAACAGTAACTGAGTGAAAACATTACAAAACAGACTGCTGACCCCAATCTGTGCAAAACTGATGGCTTGTTACTGAATTGCTTTGGTATGTCACTTTATTTATTCTGTTAGAGTTTTAAACATTTTAATATATTTACAACCAGTCTCACGTTCAATTAAGTCTGTTGATATTCATTGACACTATGCTGATTTTGTTGCTTATCCCAAAGCAAACCTATCAGATCTTCCACAGGCCAACTCATATCATGCATCCCTCCAAGCATCCTTCCACACACAGAGACTCCAAACCAGCACTCAATCAAAATTAGACAGGGATCCTATAGACAGGGACCTATGACCCCTGCTGACTTCCTGCCCCTGGAGCAGGAGGCTGAACTCGATGATCCTCCAGGGTCCCTTCCAGCCCAAATGTCTATGAAATCTAGACACCTTCAGGCAAGAAGTTCTGAGCCCCACCATCCACTCCTTGAGCCAAGGGCTGGATTCTTGTTCTTTGATTCTTGTTCTTAACTCCAAGTTGAGTTACCTATCTATTCCATTTTAGAAATACCCTGTCTGACAAGGAAAATTCTCTCTCTCTCCTTTTTTGTGTATGCTTATGAACAACAGACAAAATGCATTATAATCACTGTTTGTGTTGTGGGTAGATGGAATTGCTTTTAATGATATAGTAAGTGGAGTGCTTGGCAATACTGATGGACTTCCGCACAATTATTTTATGCTGGAGAGAGTAAGTCTTGTGATCATGGCTACCTACAGCAGCTGTTTGTGCAAAATAGTTCATTAAATACAAGCATTTCTCTCTGAAGAGGCTCACCACATATCCAACGGGTAAAAGATAAATGGCTATAATCTTTGAATACACAAGACTACACAGAGTGGATATTTTATATCTGCACAGAGGGTCCTTAATTGAACTTATACCCTAAGGCTAAGCTTTCCGGTACTTAAAGTGCTCCCTGATGTCATACCAGGGTCATGTTCCACATCAGAAAAGAAGAGCTTTAAATTCCAGTTAATTGGTATCCCCAACTGTCTTTTTCTTTCATTAAGGCTACTTTTATAACAGTTATTTATGTAAGTGCAATTGTTTCCCTACCCCCCTCCCTATAATCTCCCACTCCAAGTAGTAAAGTACAGATATGACTATATTTGAAACTCTATGGCATCAGGCAAAAGCCTGTAGCTCTAATAATTGTAATGTAAAAAGGGAATTGTAGGTGACTCAATGGAAAGGAAAACAGGTGCAATATGAAGACAGAATGGTATCTGTCTACAGCATCATTAATTTAAGGGGTAACAGGGGACTGGCATATAAGTACATATACACACTTTCACTGGCTGCTAAACACAAAACGTGGTCAATCTTGATTCAGCTGATGGCTGTAGTGCAGCTCCTTGTGGACAAGGGTCCCCACCACAACAACAAAAACACAACTGTCAGTGGCTGTCATGTTTATCGATCATCTAGAAGAAAAATCATAGACTGACTAGGTCATGGAAACTGGATTTCCCTCAGCTTGGGAAGTGATTCCTCAAGTTCAGGTCTGAGGTATTCCAGTATTGCAGTACCATGGGAATGCTTAAACAGCTGCCCATGCTATACCCTTCTGAAGGATAGAGAGTAGGATTTGACCTGCATGTGTGACAAGCTAGGACACTTCTCCAGGGGTTCCCTTAATAACAAGGCAAAGAAATAAATGGGAGTGGTGTTGATGTGACATTCTCCAGCACATTCTGTACACGTCCTATGTTCTCACAAGCAACCCACTGTTCTGAGCTGCCAACCAAGTGACTATAAATTAGTGAAGACTGCACTCGAGAAGGAATAAATTTGTGCCTGTGTGGTCAGTGTTGCAGATAACACCTTTAGAAAAGGCTGTGTACTGCATACATCACAACAGTCCAGGGTGTCCCTTCATATAGGTGTTACAGTTTGAATAGGCTTCACTTGTTGTATCTTCAAGAGCACTGAAAAGGTTCCCACCCGACAGAGAATCACTTAATCTTTGCTGTATATGAAAGGCTGGCCTTTATAGTGGCCCATTATTAATATATTTAGTGTTTCTCATGAGCCATTTTATCATAACTCATTTGGCACGTGAAGGCTTTATATTCCATGGACTTCCCATGGAAAGTTAATGTTAATTACCACAGAATGACATTAAAATTAAGTGGCACTCCACACATTCTTAAAATACCAGATTGGTTATTTATAGCCAAGTCAGCTGTTGGGCCTAATAAAGTTATATTTGCCACAGTAAAGTTGGTTAAAAAATTTTGTGGGCCTGAGAAATGTTTTGATCCTTGGCTTATAAAAGACAAATCAGGAGACACAGATTACCAGCTAAATGTCACCCGGCTCTGTGCTACCCAATGCTGATTCCTTAAAGCTGAGCTGTCTGTACTGCTCTCATGCAGGCTTGGCGGCCCAGAAATAAAACAGTTCCTTCAAAGCCCTCTTCAGTCTTTTGCTTGTGTCACAGCTTTTACTGGAGCATTCTGCTTGCTTTATCAGGGTTAATGCAAATAATCCCCTTCCCCGCCCCAGAAGGCGGGTAGGGGAGAACCATTACATACGCTGTGAACTTTGGAGGACTATTTGGCAGCAGGATCCCCGAGCGCAGAACACTTCTTCCAGTGCCCAGTGACTGCATCCACTCAAGCCCTGTATTTCTCCACTAATCAGTGTTCCCCCTAAGAGGAAAAGCAGCTAGTCCTGCCAGCTTTGTTCCTAACCCCCCTACCTTGGCTTCACTACTCCCGGCAGCGAGGGTGACAAAACTCCATCCTGGAGCTGTTAAATCTGCTTTCCCTTCCCCACTTGGGGCTTCCCTCCTCCCTTCAGCCCCCTGCCCCATAGATTGGAAAGTCAAGGGCATCGAGGTGTAGGGAGGCAGGAGGCCATCGCCTCTCGCCCCCTAGCTGGGTCCCGGGCAATTCCCAAGTGGAGCTCGGCCCCGCGCTGCCCTGGACCGGGGCGACGTGCTGCAAACACCCCGGGAGCCAGCCCCAGCCCAGCCGCCCGCATTGTTTCCTACTCACCATGTCGTACACGTTGAGAATCACGGGTTCGCTGGCCATGGTGGCGGGCCGCGGGGCGGGCGCGGGTGCCCGGAGCCCTCAGCTCCCTGGCGGCGGCGCGCTGCTTCCCCGCA